TAGAGCAGTCTTCACACATAGCTAGACAGGTTTGTAATCACTGAATACCGCTTCAGATCACGTACGCGCCAGTTTCTAATCTTCAGTTTCAGTCTTCGACGTTTGCTGAAGGATCTTTGGTGTGAGTGTTGTTTTCTTGAAATATCGTTGTCTCTGAATGAATTACAAAACGAGTTCTTCAGCGATCACTGAACATGCTCAGTGTATTGATCGCTGGAACTGAAAGTACAGAAACAAAAATACATCGAAAGGAAAAAAGGATTATCATTAAATCACTGAGAGAGAGGATCAACACAGCCCTCAGGCCCGGTCCTCGGCGAGTATGGGGATTAACATCCCGTCCCTAGTCAAACCCCGGTCAAATCCTATGAAGAATATCCGTTAGTTTGAGTCTACTGGGGATCCTCGACCCCGGCCCCAACCCCGGTTCGAGTCTGTATGGGATCTCCAGTCCCGAGACCCGTTCAAGTCGGGTGAGCCGGGTTCCCCACCGGGCCGGGGCAAATCACCATTCTTATCTACAATTGTTAGAAAAAACTTAATAACCATAAAACAATCTCCTTTGTCGGTAACTAGAATTTAATGCTTATGATCAATCATCGTTTTCATATTTGACATTTGAAACCGGTTCGAAATCAAATTAAATCACGTCATTAAGTAAATTAACAAAAATACAAAACAATGACGAGATTCAGATATTTATCAAAAAATAACATTATCATGATAAGAACATTCAAAAGTGGCATTACGATCATAATAATTTTTATTGTTTTTAAAAAAATAAAAATGTTACTAAAAACGTTAATGGAATCCTCCATGATTTTGCTTCGACGTCAGTTGTCGTCATGGGAAACTAGTTCTAGTAACTTTGACCACCAAACTAAAATAAACTAAAAGAAAAAGAGCTGCAACATTGGAAAAAATAAAATACTTTCTTTTATTTATTTATTTATGTGCACAATTTTAAAGTAAAAAGATGGCGACGTCATCAAAATCCCACCAATCTTGATATCGTATTTAAATATAGTTTCTTTTATTTATTAAATGGACAAAGTTTTTTGTGTTTATGTTTGTTCGTTAAGAAAATGTGTGTGTTCGTGTTCGTTTATATTCGTTCATTAAAATGTTAAACGAATGTAAATGAACATAAATGAAAAAACACCAATATACCAGAAGCAACGAACATTACTCATCATATAACAAAATGAAAAACCGGGTAAATAAGAGATAAAAAAAATTCTGAAAATTTAATCTAATTAACAATTTCACATATAAATATCATAATATATAAATATATTTGTATATACAAACAATTGTAAACGAACATAAATGAACATGTTCATTTAACTAAACGAACAAAAAAATGTGTTTATATTCGTTCATTTATTAAACAAACGAACTTCGAATTCCCACCAAATGGTTCACGAAAGATTAGCTAAATGTTCAGTTCGTTTATAACCCTAACAACAAATGTTTGAATGGATCGAGTTACAAATGAGTAGACTGGTGTATGAAATTAATAAAATTATAGTTTTCGAGATTTTTCTTATAAAATTAGAACCATAACAATTAATGCATAATTAAATAATATTTACAAATTAAAAAAAAAAGATAAATGTATGACTATTAATTATTATTTTCATCGACTCTCAAGAATACATTTTATCATCCATTAGATTTATTGATATCTGATTCAATGAGTAATTGTATGAAATTATTGATATTTGATTCAATGAGTAATTGTATGAATTTATTGATATCTGATTCAAAACCGAGTTTTAGTAGTACATTGCATGCCGATGTATAAGCGTTCAGAAAAGAGATATACCATTGTTACTTGGAATTTCTTTTAGCTCTTCTAAACTGTAAGCTCCCAAGCAGTGGGAGGAGCCCGGGGCTCTGACCGTGATACTCAATCAAATCGTCTTCGTTGATGATTGAATTCAGTTCTCAGGGAAACAGCCCGGATCACCAGCTAAGGCCCCTAAATGATCGCATATTCGGTAAATACTTAAAACTCAAGAAAGTGACTAACTCATGAATGTTCGTTATCAAATAACAATGACAAACGTTGAGAGACATAGTTATTAAATATAGCTTATAAAAACATCAAAAACCGTTAATATTACACTATGACATATCAGAACACAAATTCGTTTGGTGATGGGTTTCTCTTTTCTAAAATCCATTAAACATATTTAATCAACTAATCAATTGAGATATTGTTTAAACTTCGCTTATCAAACATTTATACGACAAGTGCTTACCAAGTCACATTATCTTATCAAATTAATATGACAATGATTAATGATCTTACTCGATAAGAGCAATGACAATAACCAAGAGTCATAGTAAGTGAGGAGGATGACTATTATCCAATTAATATTTAGGGGTTGTTTGACAGTTGTTGAATGGTTTGGTGCAGAATGATTACGTGGTCAGAATGATTAAGAGACTCTCATGATATAGTACAAAATGAAATATAATTGTTTGGTAATTGTTTACAATAAAATTAGGGTGCTGAATGGTTAAGCGATGCCCATGATACAAATCATTCAGAGGGTTTTAGAACCATTAAAAGACAATTTTTTTTTTGCCAAACAAGATTCACCTCTTAACGATTTAGAGGCTGTCTCTTAATAAAACTATTAAGAGGTAAACAAACAACTTCTTACTGTGTAAATTATTGCATATGATGGTATTTTAATGAAATAAAATCTTATTGTTAATTTTGATTTCTTTAGCCATTCAATTCAAGAAAACACGTCCCATAGAAGAAAGGTTAATTTGTTCTAATTCTAAAATTCAACTTTTTTACTATTTTTTATTCACAAATGAATATACGAACTTTTCGTTGTGAAAATACTTTATTACGTACATAGAACATTGTTTTGATTTAATGTAAAAATTATTATTCTAGTAAATGTCGAGAACTAAATTTAGTAATATTTGAACCTACGACGCTACGACGATTTGAACTTAAAAAAACATCCTGTTGACAAAAACAATGTTCCACAACTAACTTGTTTTACAAATTAACTATTGTGCAATAAAAAAATAGTTAAAATATGAAGGAAAAAAAAAACAAATTTGAGAATCTACAACCATTATTCGGTAATGAAATGACAATGATATATTATAGTTATAGTTATGTTTTATAGGATTTTTTTGTTGCAAATTTCTGACGAACAAGTGACAAGTTTGTCCGCCGGTGAGATCCGTTGATAATGGTTTTTCTTAACGGATTATCAACAAATTTTTACATCGATAAAACCCTTTTGTTTTGTAGTGTTTAAAGACATTGTTTTTTCAAAGTCGATTATTTAGATATGCTTTATGTAACACTCCCAAAGCTCACAGCAACAAACTGACCCAATAACTTCGGAACTAACTTAAAACCATGATGAAAGTTATTGGTAGACTTATAAGGAGCTAACAATTCTTAGCTCTTATTCATGTGGGACGAGTTATTACACTTTAATCTTTTATCTTGATATATATTTTAGTTTTTTATCCAAATAATCTTTATATTTTAGTTAACAATAATGATAGCTATAACCACAAGGGTGGTACTTGATTGATTTGAGTTTGACTCCAAAGGTCAAAAGTACCAGAAGTCTCAGGTTCAAATCGAAGAAGGAATAAAAATCCCTTGTGGCCACGGAGGTTCATATACATTGACTCCGGGCTATCTGCAAAGCAAGTGGTCGTCCTGAGATTAGTCAGCTTACATAGCAAGTTAGATATCGAGGTTAATAAAAATAAAATTAAAAATAACGATAGCTATATAAAAATGGTGTAGACAACTCAATCTCAATAATGATTTGGATTGTAAGAGACTTTTTGTTTGTGAAATAACAACAATTTTTTCAATTCATGTGTTTCAAAGTTAGAAAATTCTTCCCACCAATCTGAGTCCAACGACTCGCATCCTCCATACCAAGTCGTCTTGTAGACCCAACTCAAAAGGTAGCAATTTTATATACGAGACCATGACCAAGTCAACACAACCCTTTCTTCGTCCAACGTGTCCAAGAGATTACAAATACTTTGAATCCTTTTCTTTCTTTTCTTAACCCCTTTTACCCATTTCTTGATTTCTTGAATTCCTTGCTTCATATATGCCTACAAACCCCAATATTTTCACCACCAATTTTGTTCTTTACCCTCCAAGATTTTGTTATACTTCAAACCCACATCAAATCTTTCGTTTAAATCGAAAAAAGAGGACCCGAAAACCAGATATGGAAGAGATTGTTTCTTTGATCTTTCATGGGGGGAAGTTAGTTAAAGAGCTTGAAGAGAGCCTACCCAACATAGCAAACCAACCCCATGTTCTTATTAGTTCATGCGATGAGATAAGTAGGGTTTTTGGCAACGCGAGGGAACGGTTGACGTTGGCGGTGCAGGACTACGGCACCCACCACGAGTCGCTACCACAAATGGAGGTTGGTGGTGGATCAGTGCCGGAATGGCTAAGGAGTTCGCATGCAATGGATATGGGGCTACATGAACAACTAGCTCACCATCAACACCATGGTTTCGATGCCATTGCTGGCCAAGAGTTGGGTGGTGGAAATGTCGAGGCTGTAGCGACCGATGTAGCTCAGTCTTCATTGCATCGACCCCGAAGAAGGTAACAATGATGAATTAAACTGTGAGAAAATGCAGAGTATTTAAAGTCGGTTAATTTTGGTTTTTTTAAACATTTGCATACCTTTTGGTAAATTCATGATCATGAGGCAATATGCATTGGTTGTTCCACTTGACAAAATGTAGTTTTCTTCTGAAAATTTTCAATGATTTTGATATGGGCCTTATATATATATATATATATATATATATATATGTATATATATATGTATATGTGTGTGTGTATATATATACATATGTATATATATGTATGCCTTGCATGCATGCAAGAAATGAAATATATATGTAAATGCATGCAAAAATTAATAATAACAAGCCCTAATTAGATGTAATTAAATGTGGGTCTAAAGTGAAAGACACAAATTAACACATTGTTTTAATACTATTTACAAAATCATTCGAAATGCAAGTAAACCGGTGATGAAAAACTCACGCACGGTGATAAATGCGTTAACTACCCGTTGGTCGACGTATCATTTATAATAGCGAACAAAACTTGAATAATTTATTCGAAAATCACTATATTACCTTATTAAATCGGAAAGAATATATGGAGATCAGAAATAAATCAAGAACATCTTAGGTTTAATTTGTTATGTTTATATATGTGTAGAAAACATGAAGCAGATAGACGAACGTTTAGAGTGCCTGCTCCTAGAATGGGGAACACTGAAGTTCCACCGGAAGACGGTTACACTTGGAGAAAATATGGTCAAAAAGAAATTCTCGGGTCAAAATTTCCAAGGTAAATATTTATGTATAACATGATTCTTCGATACTCTTATCAAATTTACCATAAAAGTAAGATATCAACCCGTTTTATTAATATTAATTCAAAATTTTATAGCCGGGTGGCGGGTTTTTTCTAATCATAAATAAAACGTCATATATATATATATATATATGGAGTTCAACAAGAAGCATTGAAAGTTTCTTGATGCAAATCTTGAAAGTTGAATATCCCATGATTGCAACAGGTTAAAGATTACCTTTTTACTAGTTTGAATTCAAAGTTTGTGTGTATGAGATGGTCTTCTTGCCACGACATTTGTTCACTGTCTTTCTTGAATATTCAATATTTCAAACATTTGATAAACATGGACTTGGCATTCTAGATGAACATCTTTGAATATGTTTCAATTTTGGTCCTTTGTATTTCAGGGGATATTTCAGATGCACCCATCAAAAATTATACAACTGTCCGGCTAAAAAACAAGTTCAAAGACTCGACAACGATCCCTACACTTTCGAAGTAACATATCGGGGAGAACATACGTGTATCATGTCCTCCACCGCTCCTTCCATGCCACCACCACCATCGTTACCGGAGGCTATGACATCTTATCCTACATCACATAATATACCACTTACGACTTCACAACCCGTCACACAATGGTTATCCATTGACGTCAAACAACCATTTGGAGAACTTTATAGTACTATTGCTCATCATAACATGCAAATGTACAAAAGTCAATCGGATAATATTGGTGGTGGTGGGACAGGTCCATCGTCTCCTGCTAGATATACTGATTATCCAGGAGTAACAGACTTGATTGATACAATGTTTAATTCTGGTAGTAGCAGCAACAATAGCATGGAACTCATATTTTCTTCCGAAGAAAAAAAGGACGATAGAGAAAAAACAAATTAAAAGCATTAGTTTATCTTCGATAAATAAATAAAACATTAAAGTTTTTGTGACTTTTAGTTTGGTTAAGTTCTAACAAATCAATAGCTTATCTTTGGTGGGGGTGGGGTTTAATGGCAGCAAATATAAGCTTTCTTTCATCCTTTTGCCATATGTAATTTAAATGCTTTACTTTTACATTTTTATTAACCCTTTTTTTTACAATTTGGTATTATAATCGGGTTTATTTTTTTTTAAGAGGTTGTTTATTTACCTCTTAATAGTTCTATTAAGAGGCAACATCTGAATCGTTAAGAGGTGAATCTTGTTTGACAAAAAAAAAAGTTTGTCTCTTAATGATTCTAAAACATTCTGAATGATTTTGTATCATGGATATCCCTTAACCGTTAAGAGCTATAATTTCATTGTACATAATTACCAAACAATTATATTTCATTTTACAATATATCATGAGAACCTCTTAATCATCTTGTATCAAACCATTCATCAATTGTCAAACAGTCCCTTAGTGATGAGCAACTAGATATTATTGTATTATTCGGTGACACTTAATTATAACATCATGATTTGTTTTATTAATAATTATTTTAATTGAAAATAAATTTGTAAACAACAAGAATCACCACACATGTTTGTGCCATTATCTTGCCACCAACCGCCGCCCCCGGCCCACTCCCCAGTCCCCAGTCCCCACCATATAATGATGATAGTACATTTTCCGATTAAATCGAAAACAACACCCGCTACGGCTTGGCCCAGTTTTGGGCCCAAAATGGCAAAATCGACTTCTGATATTGTTTTTCTAATTTTCAATTTTTTAATCATAATCTATACTATATTATAAAACATTTGACAAAAACTCTTTAAAAATATTTTTTATGCATGTAGTATTGTATATTAATGCATATTACTTAAAATTCAAGATTACAAGTAAATTATGCATAAGTGAGAATCACCAGGTCAATTCCCTTCTAAAGCATGGGTGTGTATGAGCTTAAAAATGATTAAGGTGTTGTTTGGTTAGAAGTATTAAACAATAATCAATGAGAATGTAAATGAAAATAAAAGAAACTATCTGATAAAATAAGCCCAAATTTTCATTTCAGATTAAACTGGGGGAAATGAAAATTCATTCTCATTTTCATTTTCATTCCCATTCTCGTTCTCTAACATGAACCAAACAGCCCCTGAGTGTGGAAAAATTATTTTCTTACGATTCTTACCTTAACTATATTTCTCATATGATCTTTTGTCTTTCATTGTATGATATAAATATATATATATACACACACACACATATATATATATATATATATATATATAGAGAGAGAGAGAGAGAGAGAGGTATATTATTATGCAACCATTTACATTTATACAACCAATACAACTCAATCTCAACCGTTCATTTAATTTGATGAATTTGTTATTTCATAAAAGTTTTAATTGTTTCTTAATATAAAGTATTGATCATAATTAATGAAACTTAGTCATCTTCTATAAATATCCAAATCATAATAAATAACTCTCATCATTTCCATTAATATCTCAATTAATTGGGGTGTAGTGGTTGTACAAATGTGATAAGTTGCATTTGAAACGTTCTCTCTCTCACTACAAAAATGTTGGGTATCAGCGAGGGAAATTTCCCTCGCTGATCCGTCGCTGAAAGGGTTGTCCGTCGCTGATCCGTCGCTGATACTCCGTCGGTCAAACAGTCGTAGGTAATGCTATCAGCGACAGATCAGCGACGGAAATCAGCGACGGATTTGCGACGGACACTTTCAGCGACGGATTTGCGAGGGAAATCAGCGACGGATTTGCGACGGACACTTTCAGCGACGGATCAGCGACGGATGTACTTAGCGACGGATCTGCGACAGATTTGCGAGAGAAA